GATGGTGTGGGCCTCCGGAGCAGACCGAGATCCCGCAGCTCTTTGGCGTGTGCGGAGTTTAACTCTAAAAAAAACTCGACTCACAAGACAAAAAACATGAAAACACCGTTCTGACGGGAGAGAGAGAAGCCGCAGTGTGTGCACGCGCCGCCGTACTGTAAAAATTTTTAAAAAAACTTGTGTGTACATGTATATTTCCCATGTGTAATGTGTGTTTCCCATGTGTAACGCGTGTTTGTGTCTGTGTATAATGCGTGTTTCCTGTGTGTGTAACGTGTGTGTGTGTCCCTGTGTAAAGTGTGTTTCCCGTGTGTGTGTGTGTCCCTGTGTAACATGTGTTTCCCATATGTAAAGTGTGTGTTTCCCGTGTGTAACGCCTGTTTGTGTCTGTAATGTGTGTGTTTCGCGTGTGTGTCAGGAGAAGAGCAGCGTGTGCGAGCGCTACCGTGAGGTGTGTGAGGAGCTGAGCGTGATGAAGAGGCGCAGCGAACGCGAGGCCGAGGCGCTGAGAGAACACCTGAGACTGGCACTGAGCGCGCTGCACGAGGGACAGCAGACCGACAACACACATGCACACACCTCCTGAGGGGAGGAGCCTCAGTCACGTGCCTTCAGTTCAGTCCAATCAGCTGCAGGGATTCCGACCGGCCAATCAGCTGCAGGACACTGGAACAAACGCTTCTGCACTTTCTCATGTCTGTATGTGTGTGTTCGACTCCTGGAAACAAAACTGGAATGTCTCACTGTCGCTAGCACAGTGTGGAAGAACTGGACACACGCACATACGTATGTGAACGATCAGAGTCTCAGTGCGTTTATCTGCCAAACTAACATCTGATTATGTGCCTCCAGTACCAGTGTGTGTGTGTGTCCTTTGTGCCACAAAAACAAAAAGAGCTTTGCTTTAATGAGCCAATGTTTTTTTAAAAGATGTTGTCATATTTAATTTTAGAGTTTAACGCATATGTAAACATATAACACTATGACTAATAAAACTTGGGTTATTTGGTCTCTGTGAAGTCTGAGTGATTGTCCTTTAAATCTTATTACAATGTTTTGTCTTCACAAAGCTGAAATCATATGAAGAATCAGAAGTGAAAAGTTCAGAGTTGTGGTAAATTGAGTGTTGATTGCCATTGAAGCGAAACCAGAACGGGTCAGTTGTGTTAATAACCAGCAGAGGTGAGTTGATGTGGCAGTGATTGACTAACTAGTGTTAAAGACTGTTCATGTACAATGTGATAATCTGAGTGTATTTATATTTCTAGTGACACTAAACTTAAGTCTAAATCAGATGTTTTTGACTCAAGTCCACCCACTGTCCACAACAATATTCAAAGGCATCATAGGTTTTTTTTAGATATTAATTTCCATGACTTTTCCTGTTCTAGCAATCAAACTTTCAAATATCCCGGTTTTACGAAACTGAGAATCCTATTTTTCATGGACAAAAAATGCATTAAAATAAGAAATACCTTAATTTTTGGTTCTTTTATCTGATCTGAATGTTTGTTTTGTGTTGTTTTAAGTCATCGAGGCCTTCAGTGGGCCCCGGACCCCTGATTTACAATCATTGATCTAACATGTTTAGTGTTTTTAATCTTCAATCTCAATCATATCTTCTTCATATCACTCACAAACTAAGGAGAAAAGAGCGTGAGCGTGTTTCTGCTACACGCATGATCTGACCTTCGCGAGCTTGTTTCTGCTACACGCGTGATCTGACCTCTGGGAGCGTGTTCCGCGTGCGTGTTCCTGCTACACGAATGATCTGACCTCCGTGAGCGTGTTCCGCGAGCGTGTTCCTGCTACACGCGTGATCTGACCGCCGTGAGTTTGTTTCTGCTACACGCGTGATCTGACCTCCGCGAGTGTGTTTCTGCTACACGCATGATCTGACCGCCGCGAGAGTGTTCCTGCTACACGCGTGAGCTGACCTCCGCGAGAGTGTTCCTGCTACACGCGTGAGCTGACCTCCGCGAGAGTGTTCCTGCTACACGCGTGAGCTGACCTCCGCGAGAGTGTTCCTGCTACACGCGTGAGCTGACCTCCGCGAGAGTGTTCCTGCTACACGCGTGAGCTGACCTCCGCGAGAGTGTTCCTGCTACACGCGTGAGCTGACCTCCGCGAGAGTGTTCCTGCTACACGCGTGAGCTGACCTCCGCGAGAGTGTTCCTGCTACACGCGTGAGCTGACCTCCGCGAGAGTGTTCCTGCTACACGCGTGAGCTGACCTCCGCGAGAGTGTTCCTGCTACACGCGTGAGCTGACCTCCGCGAGAGTGTTCCTGCTACACGCGTGAGCTGACCTCCGCGAGAGTGTTCCTGCTACATACGTGATTTGACCTCCGTGAGCGTGTTTCTGCTACACGCGTGATCTGACCTTCGCGAGCTTGTTTCTGCTACACGCGTGATCTGACCTCCGCGAGCGTATTCCTGCTACACGGTGATATGACCTCTGCGAGCGTGTTCCTGCTACACGCGTGATCTGACCTCCGCGAGCGTGTTCCTGCTACACGCGTGATCTGACCTCCGCGAGCGTGTTCGTGCTACACGCGTTATTCCTGCTACACGCGTGAGCTGACCTCCGCGAGAGTGTTCCTGCTACACGCGTGAGCTGACCTCCGCGAGAGTGTTCCTGCTACATACGTGATTTGACCTCCGTGAGCGTGTTTCTGCTACACGCGTGATCTGACCTTCGCGAGCTTGTTTCTGCTACACGCGTGAGCTGACCTCCGCGAGAGTGTTCCTGCTACATGTGTGATCTAGCCTCCACGAGCGTGTTCCTGCTACATGTGTGATCTAGCCTCCACGAGCGTGTTCCTGCTACATGTGTGATCTAGCCTCCACGAGCGTGTTCCTGCTACATGTGTGATCTAGCCTCCACGAGCGTGTTCCTGCTACATGTGTGATCTAGCCTCCACGAGCGTGTTCCTGCTACATGTGTGATCTAGCCTCCACGAGCGTGTTCCTGCTACATGTGTGATCTAGCCTCCACGAGCGTGTTCCTGCTACATGTGTGATCTAGCCTCCACGAGCGTGTTCCTGCTACATGTGTGATCTAGCCTCCACGAGCGTGTTCCTGCTACATGTGTGATCTAGCCTCCACGAGCGTGTTCCTGCTACATGTGTGATCTAGCCTCCACGAGCGTGTTCCTGCTACATGTGTGATCTAGCCTCCACGAGCGTGTTCCTGCTACATGTGTGATCTAGCCTCCACGAGCGTGTTCCTGCTACATGTGTGATCTAGCCTCCACGAGCGTGTTCCTGCTACATGTGTGATCTAGCCTCCACGAGCGTGTTCCTGCTACATGTGTGATCTAGCCTCCACGAGCGTGTTCCTGCTACATGTGTGATCTAGCCTCCACGAGCGTGTTCCTGCTACATGTGTGATCTAGCCTCCACGAGCGTGTTCCTGCTACATGTGTGATCTAGCCTCCACGAGCGTGTTCCTGCTACATGTGTGATCTAGCCTCCACGAGCGTGTTCCTGCTACATGTGTGATCTAGCCTCCACGAGCGTGTTCCTGCTACATGTGTGATCTAGCCTCCACGAGCGTGTTCCTGCTACATGTGTGATCTAGCCTCCACGAGCGTGTTCCTGCTACATGTGTGATCTAGCCTCCACGAGCGTGTTCCTGCTACATGTGTGATCTAGCCTCCACGAGCGTGTTCCTGCTACATGTGTGATCTAGCCTCCACGAGCGTGTTCCTGCTACATGTGTGATCTAGCCTCCACGAGCGTGTTCCTGCTACATGTGTGATCTAGCCTCCACGAGCGTGTTCCTGCTACATGTGTGATCTAGCCTCCACGAGCGTGTTCCTGCTACATGTGTGATCTAGCCTCCACGAGCGTGTTCCTGCTACATGTGTGATCTAGCCTCCACGAGCGTGTTCCTGCTACATGTGTGATCTAGCCTCCACGAGCGTGTTCCTGCTACATGTGTGATCTAGCCTCCACGAGCGTGTTCCTGCTACATGTGTGATCTAGCCTCCACGAGCGTGTTCCTGCTACATGTGTGATCTAGCCTCCACGAGCGTGTTCCTGCTACATGTGTGATCTAGCCTCCACGAGCGTGTTCCTGCTACATGTGTGATCTAGCCTCCACGAGCGTGTTCCTGCTACATGTGTGATCTAGCCTCCACGAGCGTGTTCCTGCTACATGTGTGATCTAGCCTCCACGAGCGTGTTCCTGCTACACACGTGATCTGACAGCTCGCTGTGTGTTTCAGGGCAAGATGGAGCTGCAGGAGACCATCAGCGTATGGAAGCAGAAGGCTCACAGAAGGCTCGAGACCGAAGCCCAGCGTCCGGCCGACTTCCTGTCCAAGTTTTACCACTTGAGCGTGTTCCTGCTACACGCGTGATCTGACTGCCGTGAGCGTGAACACGCTCAAGTG